GGGGGAAAAGTGGGGCTGAATCCAGCCCTGGGGGGCACCAGGAGGGTCTCAGGGGACCCTGGGCTGCAGAGTCACGTTGTCCCCTGCTCCTGGTGGGAGCCAGCAGTGGGACATGATCCTTGTGACCCCAGAGGAGCTGCGGTCCCAGCGATGCCCTTGAGGGTCCCCAGTGCTCCTGGGGGTCTCTTGGAGGGTTTCAATCAAAGTCCAGTGCTGGGGGGTGCAGGGGACAGCCCTGTCTTTGCTGCTGCCCCCTTTTCCTGGGGGGAACAAATCCCAGCTGGCACCGGGGATGCCGGGGGGAGATGTGCAGTGTGGGGGTCACAGGGATGGGGTCTCACAGAGGGGACAGCCCAGCATTCACCCCCTCTCTGGTGACCTTCGCACTGGCCCTGTCTCATCCAGGGGAGCGCAGGGCGGGGGGGGCTGGAAATGCGATTTATGATCCCGCCTGATACGATCTTATAAAATTTCCCGGGCACACTCGAAATTACATTTCCATAGCTCAGGAGCAGCGATCTCTGTGCGCGCCAATACCTGCCACTTTTATGGCTACATTTATTGCAATAATAAAGTGAAATGGTGAGGCGAGGGGTGGGGGTGCCTGGGGGGGGGAGCAGCCGGGCAGAAGCTGGGGGCTGTGTTGCTGAGGGCCTGGGGTCGCCCAGTTTTGGGGGACTTGGGGGAAGCTGCTGCCTCTCTGCCCTCACCTGCTGAAGAGCTGGAGGAGGGGTAGAGGGAACCCCACAGCCTGTTCTGCTGGGGGGAAACTGAGGCAGGGCCAAGGAGGAAGAGAGTCCTGGGAGGCATCCCTGGCACTGGAGATGTGGGTGTGACACTGGGACCCTGCTGGCTGCACTTCCTTGTCCCCACACACCATCCCCGTGAGCTGCCCGTGTCCCCACGTCCTGCACAGTGTGACTGGGGGTGGCTAGGAGGAGCCCCCACCCCAGTGGCCCCCAAAATCAATCAAGGGGGTTCCAGGCCTGTTGGCCTCTGGGAGCTGCTGGGTGACAGATGTCCAACAGCCACATGTCCCTGTCCCCCGCCACCCCCCTATCCCCTCTCTGCTGTAGCTGCTGCCCACCCACCCGCACCCCCTCTCCCCCTCCTGCTCCGTTTATCTCCTGTTTTCCCATTCATTCCCTTTTCTCCTCCAGCCCAATGAGTCACACAAGCCCCGAATCCTTTGCCTGCTGCCGTCTCCTCCTTTCTATTATATTTTTTCCTTTGCTCTTAACAGCACTTTCCTTTTTCACCCGTGGGGGGAGAGACTCGGGATGTACATTTTTCCCGGCTCCCCCCCAGCCACCTCCCAGCTCCTGCCTCACCGTGAAGCCCTTAAAAGTAATAAATAAATAAAACAACGGCTGAGGAAAGAAAAGACAGGAAACGAGTGACAGGGAAAAGGAACCAAAACGAAAGAAAGAAGGAGGAGGGAGAAAAAAGTCCTACTCGGGCTATGAAATATTTATTAGCCAGCGCGTGCCGAGCCCGTTAATAAAGCTGCAGCATTTGCATATTTTTTTCTGTCGGCGAGGAGCGAGGTGTCTGTTTGGGGGGGTGAAGGCACAGCTGATCCAAAGCTGATCCCCCCAGCCCTGTGTGGGTTGTGGTTCTGCTCGAGGTGACTTGGGCACACACAGTGTCAGTGTCACCGGGAGCGGGACCCCAGCAGGAGCACGGGCACACGGCTGGAAGGACTCGAGGGTGGGTTTGGTGGATTTGTTTGGATTTGGTGAATTTCGTGGACTTGGTGGATTTGGCCTTGGTGAGTTCATCCAGGCTCTCCTCTGGCTGAGGAGGTGCAGGTGTCAGATTCACCTGTCCTGATGCTGGGGGTGGCCAATGTTGGGGTGCCCTTTCCTGGTGCTGGGGTGCCCATCCCTGTGCTGGAGGTACCCATCATGGGGCAGGAGGTGTCATGCTTACCTGCCCACCACCCTCTCAGGGGTTGTGGCTGCACAGGATAGGACAGGATGGGAACGGGGCTGGGGGACAAGGATGGGGCTGGGAACAGGCTGATGGCATTAATGGGGACAGGGTGATGGTAGGGACAGGAACAGGCTGATGGTGGGCATGGAGACAGACTGGCCATGGGGACAGGGACAGGCTGGCTTGGAATGGAAATAGATTGGCAGTAGAGATGGGGACAAGCCTGGGACAGGAACAGGCAGCACAGAAGGGGCAGAGGAAGGACTGAGGAAGCCTTGAGGTGATCCTGCTGAGCCCCTCTCCAGGCAGGATCCATCACTGTGAATGCACATGTGGCAAGGTGGCCATGCATGGGTGTGTCCTGACTTGTCCCTGTGTGTCCCCTCCTCCCCTGTCCTTTTGCCCTTGATCCGTTGCCAGCATCCTCTACTGCAGCCATCACGGGGAGGGAGCAGGTGTCACCTCCCCAGTGCCAGCCCGGGGGTGCCCAGGAGCACATCAGTGCTTTGCCCTGGCACCAAGCACTCCCCAGGATGGTCACTTGTAACTGAGTGTGGCAGCGACACGGCCGTGCCCTGCCTGTCTGGTCGGGATGGGGACAGTGATGGGGATAGGAGCAAATTGGCAGTGGGGATGGGGACAGGTAGGGAATAGGGATTGGGACAGGCTGGCTGCAGGAATTAGGACAGGTTGACTGTAGGGACAGGGTCAGCCTGGAAGTGGAGATGGGAACAAGTTGTTGGTAGGGATGGGGACAGGCCGGTGGCATTGATAGGGACAGGCTGGCAGTGGGAGTGGGAACAGACTGGGTGTAGTGATGGGGACAGGCTGGGTGTAGGGATGGGGACAGACTGGCAGTGGGGATGGGGACAGGCTGGGTGTAGTGATGGGGACAGACTGGGTGTAGGGATGGGGACAGGCTGGGTGCAGGGTTAGGGACAGGCTGGATGTAGGGATGGGAACAGACTGGCAGTGGGGATGGGGACAGGCTGGGTGTAGGGATGGGGACAGACTGGCAGTGGGGATGGGGACAGGCTGGATGTAGGGATGGGGACAGGCTGGGTGTAGTGATGGGGACAGGCTGGGTGCAGGGATGGGGACAGACTGGCGGTGTTGATGGGGACAAGCTGGCAGTGGGGATGGGGGCGGGCTCACATGGTAGAGATGGGGACACGATGGCGGTGGGGACGGGGGCGGGCGCACAGGGAGCACGGAACGCGTCACCCGGGACGCGCAGTCACACCAAGCACCTCGCTCCATGTATGTGCGTGTCACCGCATGAGTGTCACCGCGTCTGTCACCGCGTGTGTGTCACCGTGTGCGTGCACACACAGACGTGCTCGCAGGGCCACGCAGGACACGTGGAGGTGTTTGTGCGCACCCACCTGCATGTGTTCGACAGCACCCACTGCCATTCGTTGCACTACTCGGGCACACAGGTGGGCCGGGCACACACCTGCGGCACCCATGGGCGCACACGCTCACGCAGAGACTCGGGAACAAGCACCCCGGAGCTCTCCGCGCTCCCTCGCCCACGCTCGGACACGCCTGGGCACGCCGGGTCCCTCCCGCAGCCCCGCGGAGCCCGGCGCGGCACCGCGGCACCGCATTAGCACCCGCGCGGCGCCGGGAGATAAATGGGAGCTGTCAGAGGCACCTTGTTTGCTGCTAACCTTTGGAAATGCCACGGCGCCCCGGGCTGCGCGTGCCGGGGGGAGCGGGCCCGCGGGGATTGTCGCTCACCACCTCCAATTAATCTCCTCGCGCTAACGAAGGCGTCCGGGTGACAGGGGAGAGGCTGGGTTGACCCTGCGCCCATGGGGAGAGCGGGACACCCCCCGAGCAGTGGAGCAGCGTCTGTGCTGCCAGAGGGCCCCGCCAAGGTGTGGGGACAGGATGGGAGCGGGGTTGGGGACAGGGACAGGGGTAGGGATGGAAACAGGCGGGCAATAGAGATGGGGACAGGCTGGTGGTATTAATGGGAACAGGGTGGTGGCGTTAATGGAGACGGGGTGGTGGCTACGGGGACAGGGTGGTGGTAGAGACAGGAACAGGCTGTGGTATTAACCAGGACAGGGTGGTGGCCATGGGGACAGGGACAGGGTGGCAGTGTTAATGGGGATAGGGTGGTGGCAGGGACAGGAACAGGCTGGTGGTATTAATGGGGACAGGGTGGTGGTGTTAATGGGGACAGGCAGGGACAGGGTGGCAGTGTTAATGGGGATAGGGTGGTGGCAGGGACAGGAACAGGCTGGTGGTATTAATGGGGACAGGCTGGTGGCCATGGGGACAGGGACAGGCTGGCCATAGGAATGGAAGCAGGTTAGCAGAAGCAATGGGGACAAGCCTGGGATGAGGACAGGCTGGTGGTGGAGATGAGGCCTTTGTTGGGGGCTGTTGTGCTGCTCTGCTCCCCACCAATGCTGACGGGGCTGTTCTGCCTTGAGCCCGTACCCCATCGTTCCCAGCCCCACTCTCGGGGTGCTGGAGCTCATCCCAGCCCACACTGGGCTGCCATGGCCCCTGTCCCCCCCTGCTGCTCCCCTCCCCTCCACCAAGGTGACCGAGGGTCTCGGGGGAGCCGCTGACGGCGCTTGGCCCCAACAGCAAATGGGATGTGAGTGGCCATCACTGCCGGGCCTGACAAACCAAATTGATGCCGGCACCGAGAGCCTTCCCGGTCCCTCTGCAGCTGCCTCCAGCCCTTCCCGCATCCTTGCCTGGCTCCTGGTGCTCACGGGGGGTGGCACACGGTGCCTGCGGACACACGGCAGCCCCACACCGGTACAGAAAGGCACACGAGGGGCTTGAGAGCAGCTAAACCATGGAATGATGCCGTGAGGATGAGGAGGGGCACAGGCAAGGGGATGAAGAGGGGAGCAGCAGGGATGTGTAGATACAGCCGTGCATGTGACAGTGAAAAACAACCATCTCAGGTAACCTGTGCGTGGTAGCAGAGCCCCTCACGCCACAGAGCCAGGCATGGCCCTGCCTGGCACTAGCCACAGATCCTGGTGAGAACAGGGTGGGAGGGGGGCGGCACTGGGATCCCCCGTGCACCCACAATGTCCAGGAAGTTCAGGGGCACGTTTGTGCGGCTGCACCCCGACGGCACAGCAGGAGCATTAATATTTAACGCGAGGTGTACGGGACCTGCCCTGAATGCCGACAGCGCTGCCAGGGAGCAGGGGGGGGTGACCTTGGCTGAAGCGTCCCTGGCCCTGCTCATCCCTGCCCCGAGCCCGCAGATCCGAGCCCCCCGGCCCGCCTGGGCTCAGCGGGGGCTGCGGGCAGCGAGGGTCCCCCCGCACTGCCGGGCTGCGCTGGTGCCGCAATCGATCGCCCTGGCTGCATCGCAGCCGCTGCCCTGCTCTGTAATTCCCTTTCATCCCCCGCTCCCCCAGCAGCTCCTGCCGAGGGACTGGAGGGGTTGGGGGGCTGCCAATCTGGCCCCTCGCCCGCAGGGGCTGGGGCACCTCTATTACTGCAGGGATGGAGGATGTTTGTTCTGTCCGTGCCCGGCCTGTGCCCCTCAGCCCTGGCTCTGTCCTGCACCAGCCTGGCCTGGGGATCCGCAGCCCCCGGGGGCACAGCGGGCACTGCCAGTGCCTGTCCCTCTCTGCTCCCACTGCGTCTCCTCCCCGCTGCCTGCCCACCCCTGTCCCTCCAGCGATTCCCATCACAGCCTGCTCCAATCGGATCACATCACACCCCCCTCATCCCTGCACGGGATCACGGCGAGAGGGGGTTGCAAAGGGAAACTGAGGCAGGGGAGGAGGGCACAGGCACCTGCGGCACTGGGGACCGGCCTTGGCTCCCAGCCCTGGCTGAGATGGAAATCCAGCGCAGAGCTTGGAAACCTCCAGAAATCCTTCCCGGCGGTGGGGGTTCAGCAGGATGCGCTGCTGTGCCTGTTCCCCGTGGCCTGCAGCCCCCAGCCCCTCACTGTGGGTGCAGAAGGATTTGAGGGGCTCCCAGTGCCCCTTGGCTTCCCCACTGTGGGGTGTGAGGGGTCCCAGACCTGACGGATAGAGAGACGGAGCAGAGTTGGGATGCAGACACCACCCCTCTCCCAAAAATGCAGCTCTCTCAGCTGAGGGGTGTCCCTCTCCCGCTCCCCTCGTTATCTTGCCATCCCGGTCCTGCCCCCCCTCTCCGGCTGGCGAAGGCGCCCGGCTTTGAAGCTGCGTTGAAATATAGATAAGGGCGAAGGCAGCAGCCGCGCTCGGAGAGAGCCGGGGGGAGCGGGGGCCTGGCCGGGCTGGGGGTGCAGGGATGGATGCTGAGCTGCAGCTCTGCACTGCACACCCCGGCCGCCCACGATGGACTGAAACACCCCAAATCCCTTTCCCACGGACATGACGGGGCTGCATGCCCTGCCCAGGGCTCCTCTCTCTGGTGCAGCACAATCAGAGCAGATTGAGGGGTTCAGCCTGGCACAGCTCAGGGGGTTCCCAGGGATGGATCAGAGCCCCTGGCTCAGCAGAGAGTGTGGGGGTCCCTGACTGGGCTCCCCCAAGGGTGCTGCTCCATCTCTGCAGAGAGACTTTGCACTGAGACCCACCTGGCCATGGAGGAGGGGGCATGGGGGGCTCATGGGATCCTTATCATTCCTAATGGGGATCATTCCCAAGCAGGAAAAGACATCAAGCCAATTCCGTAGGGTGAGTGATGCCAGGATGAGCCCCCAGCATTGACAGGAGTCATTCCCTGGGCCTGCCTCAACTTCCCATGAGAGCACAGCCCCCCACGCTGCCCCCAGCCCCTCCAGCTGGTGCCTCTGCTCACCACCCCCTCCCCACTCCCCCTCCCTCGTTCCCCCCGGGATCCAGGTCATCCAGAGCAGAAACTGCCGGAGCAGCCAAGCACCTGCCAGCTCAGGGCGACAGTGATTGACGAGGCCGGGGCTGCTGGAGCAGCATCTTGCGTGCCAGAGCAGCTGGCAGGGCAAGAGGGCACAGCGGGCACCCCGGGAGCAGTAGGATGAGGGATGGGGGCACGAGGGGTAGGTGGGCAGGGAGATGAGGGACAGGGGACACGTCAGAGTTGGGGTCCCAGGCTAGGGCTGGCATCTGGCTCTGCTCGCTGGTGTCCATCCCAGTGACAGGGGGAACCTCGGGAAGGGGCTGGTGTGGTCCTGGCCCGGATGGTGCAGGCACGAGGATGAGGAGGGGCGAGGTACATGCAGGAGGATGAGGAGGTGCAAGTAGGTAGAGGATGAGGAGGGTGCAGGCAGGAGGATGAGGAGGGTGCAGACAGGAGGATGAGGAGGGTTACATGCAGGAGGATGAGGAGGGTGCCTGCAGAGGGGATGAGGAAGGGCACAGGCACAGCTCGTGCAGTGTTTGCTCTCTCCCCCAGACGGTGTGTGCTGGCGGTCACATCGCCAAGAGCTTGGGGTACCTGGAGATGGGCACCTCCATCCTCAAGGATGTCCCCTATGGCACCTTGAAGCCCCCAGTGCTCAACCCCGGGCGGGGGTTGATTCCGGCAGAGCCCCCCCGGGGCGCGGGGACACCGCTGGGCACCGGACGGAGCCCCTGGGACTGGCAGAAGAACCAGACAGCCGGGGAGCTGCTGAGCCCCCGCGCCCACCGCAAGCCCACCCTCAAATCCAGCCGCACCAAGAAGATTTTTGGTTGGGGCGACTTCTACTTCAACATCAAGACACTCAAGTTCAGCCTCCTGGTGACGGGGAAAATCGTCGACCACATCAACGGCACCTTCAGCGTCTACTTCCGACACAACTCCTCCAGCCTGGGCAACGTCTCCGTCAGCATCGTGCCCCCCTCCAAGGCCGTGGGGTTCGAGGTGCTGGTCCCCGGCCCCCCAGCACTGCTGCAGCCACCGCCCCCTCCCCAGCAGAGCACCCTGCCCGAGGGGCGCCCGGCCAAGGCGCTCAATTGCCACGTGGAGTACGAGAAGACGAACCGGGCACGGAAGAACAAACCGTGCCTGTACGACCCGTCCAAGGTGTGCTTCACGGAGCACACGCAGAGCCACGCGGCCTGGCTGTGCGCCAAGCCCTTCAAGGTCATCTGCATCTTCATCTCCTTCCTCAGCATCGACTACAAGCTGGTGCAGAAGGTCTGTCCCGACTACAACTTCCAGCACGACAACCCCTACTTCGGCTGATGGCACCGGAGCAGGGTGTGGGTGGGGGACGGGGGGGTTGCAGTGCCCCGTTGTCATTTGGAGCCCCCTGTCACCCCCACACCGACCCCCTTTTCATCACTGGAGTATGTCTGTGCTGGGTTGTGGGACAGCCGGTGCTGGGGCTCCTGGACCCCACCCAATGCCATCCCATCACAGGGATTCAGTTGGCTCTGGGCGTTGAAGGTTTCCCCCCAAAATGACATCCCATCCCTGCAGCATCCCTGCACCACAATGGGGTACAGCCAGTTCTGGGGGTCCCACCCACCCACTGAGACCTCATCCCTGAGCACCCCAAACTGGGGTAGAGCCGGTGCTGGGGGTCCCAGTTCCCCCCCAGTGACATCCCATCATTGCATCACTGGGTTGAGCTGGTGCTGGGGGTCCTGGACCCCCACACATGAGATCCATCACTGGGGTACACCTGTTCCTGGGGGTCCCCTCCACCCACTGACACCCATCACTGGGGTACACCTGTTCCTGGGGGTCCCAGACCCCTCACCCACTGACACCCCGTCACTGTAGCACTGCCTGTGCTGGGAATCCTGGACCCCCACCCATTGAGACCCCTCCCCACCCACTGAAACTCCATCACGCCCCACCCGGCGCTGCCTCGGGTACAACTGGTGCTGGGGGCCCTGCCCCCCCCACCCACTGACACCCCCCCACCCACCGAGACCCCCCCACTGCAGCTGGGGGGGTGCAGGCACGGAGCCCCCCCATGCTGGGGGCTGGGGTGGCTGGCAGTGTGGGAGTACACTGGGGGGCACAGCCCCGTGCGATGTCACCTCTGGGGTGTCACAGAGGGCACTGGGACAGGTCAGGGTTCTGGAGGGGGGGCTCATACATACACTGGGGGGGTTTTGGTGTCTCTGCAGCCTCCCAGCTGTGCACACATGTGCGTGTGACACACGTGTGCCATGCATGTGCAACAGCCCCACCCACGTATTCTGGAGCCCTCCCTCCCTGGCCACGCTCCGGTGCTACATCCGAGCCCCCCATGGACACCCCCCCACCTCCCTGGGGGACCCCCCCAGGTGTGCAGCCCCTCCATCCAAGGCCGTGAAGAAGTGCAGGGGGTGGTTAGGGATGTGATGGGCGTGGGGGGTTCCCGGGGGACTGCCCCGTCCTTTCGGGGAGGGGCTTCTTCATCTTTTTTTTTAAAGAAAATTAAAATGGAAAAAAAAAGTGGAAAATAAAGAAAAGCCTAGGAAAAAAAAAAAAGGAGTGTGTTGATCCCGTCTCGATCGGGGATGGGGGGAGAGTGAGGAGGCGGGACCCCCGGGATTAGGAATGGGGGGTGCAGGAAGGAGGGAGCTCCCGGAATTAGAGATGGGGGGAGGGGTGCAAGGATGAGAGACCCAGTCTGGGGGATGAGCAGGGATGGGGGCGCTAGGATAAGGTTGGGGGGAGGAATGGGGGACCCCGGGTTGGGGTTAGGGAGATGGGGAACCCCAAGATTAGGGATGGGAGGATACAAGGATAGTGGACCCCAGGGTTAGGGATGGGGAGTTGCAAGGTTGAGGGACCCTAAAATTGGGGATGGGGGGGTATGCAAAGATAGGGGATCCCAGAATTAGGGATAGGGGGTTTCAGGGATGGGAGACCTCGGGTTGAGGTGAGGGGGTTGCAGAGATGGGAGACCCCAGGATTAGGGAAGGGGGAGTTTCAGGGATGGGGGACCCCAAAATTAGGGATGGGGGTGCAGGGATCGGGCTGACCACGGTTGAGGGGGGGTGGGGGAGGTGTCGGACCTCCAGTTTCCCGTCGGCCCCGCGGCTCCGGTGGCTCCGCCCTCCCGGCAGCGCGCGCGTGGGGGCGGGGCCAGGCGGGGGCCGGGACCGGGACCGGGGCCGGAACCGGGGCTGGGACCCGGCCGGGACCCACGTGCAGCGAGGACCGAGATGTGGCCGCTCCGCCTGGGCAGGGTGAGCCTCGGGGCTGGGAGAGGGGCCCGGTGCCCGTGGTGGGGGGGAGTTCCCGGTTCCCGGTAAGCGTCCCCGGTAAAGATCCCCGGTTCCCGCATCCCCCGGGGCGCTCCGGTCCCCGGTGTCTCCTGATGCTCACGGGGGTCCCGGTGCTCGGGGGGACAGTCCCGGTACCTGGCGGGGGACACTCACTGAGGCCCCCGGTGCACGGAAGTCCCGGTGCCCGGAGAGGGTGTCCCGGAACCCAGAGAGGTCCCGGTCACCGGGGGACTCTCGGTGCTCTCAGGGGTGCTGGTGCCCGCAGTGTGCTGCAGCCCCCGGTGCCCGCAGGGGTCTCTGTCCCCCCCGTGGGGGGGTCCCGGTCCCCGCTGGGGGGGGTGTCCCGGTGCCCCGTTATTCTCCCACTGGGTACCCCTGGGTACCTCCATCACCCCCGGGGGTCTCAACTCCATCCCGCTTCTCCTCCTCGCCCCCGGCTGGGCACCGGGACCCCCATCCCGGTGTCGTGTGTGCCCCCCCCCGTCCCGGTCCCACCCCCCCTCCACCCCTCGGACTTTGTGTCCATCCCAAAGTCCCCGGGGCCGGGGCAGCCACGGCCACCGGCCTTGGCCCCTGGCCGGAGCCCGCGGCCCCGCGGGTGATGCAATGGGGCCACGGAGGTTACATCACCCAGAACCGGGCATTGGGGTGAGGGGGGCGCTGGGAGCCCCCCCTGCTTGTGCACGGGGCACTCTGCGAGGGTCCCCCCACAGTCACCCCCCTACAACGAGGGGGGGTCCCATGGGTGAGAGTCCAGGTGTGCACTGAGCTTGGGGGGACCCCCCAAGTGCTTTGTGGGGCGCTTGAGGGGGATCCCCAAGTGTCTTGGGGAGTCCTTGTGTGCCTTGTGAGGACTTTGAGGGAGTCCTCATATACGTTGTGGGGGCCTTGGGAGGATCCCCATGTGCTTTGTGGGGTCCTCTATCCTGTGGAGAGCTTTGGGGGGTACCCGTGTGTCTTGGGGGTTCCTTGTGCCCTGTGGGAACCTTGGAGGGATTCCCATGTGCCCTGTGTGGAGCTTGTGGCATCCCCATGTGCTTTTGAGGAATCTCCATGTGCCCCGTAGGGTCCTTGGGGTCCCCCTGTGCCCTGTGGAGAGCTTTGGGGGGTACCCGTGTGTCCTGGGGGTCCCCTTGTGCCCTGTGGGAACCTTGGAGGGATTCCCATGTGCCCTGTGTGGAGCTTTGTGGGGTCCCCATGTGCTTTTAGGGGCACCATGGAGGAATCTCCATGTGCCCTGTGGGGTCCTTGGGGTCCCCACGTGCCCACCTTGCAGGGTGACACCGGTGAGTGGAGACAGAACATGGGGGTGTTGCACCTGCCACTGCCACCTGCAGGTCCTGGGACGGGCTAGAGGGGCTCCAGGGGTCACAGCCTGTCCCCCCCTCTCTGTGCAGAGCCTGCAGCGATGGGGTGGCCGGGTGGGCACCGGCAGCCAGCGGGCACAGCACGGCCCCGCTGCCGCCGCCGCCGCCACCCCGCACGTCCCTGGGTGGACGGGGCAGGAGAGCCTGGCCGAGAGCGACCCCGAGATGTGGAGCCTGGTGCAGAAGGAGAAGGATCGGCAGTGCCGGGGACTGGAGCTCATCGCTTCTGAGGTGAGGGCCAGGGGGCTTGGGCAGGGGTTGGGTCGGGCCTGGGGGACTCCCTGTTTAGGGGATTTGGCTGCTCTGTTTCCCCATCCACCTTTTCCCCCCAGAATTTCTGCAGCCGGGCAGCACTGGAAGCGCTGGGCTCCTGCCTCAACAACAAATACTCGGAGGGGTATCCTGGGAAGAGGTAAAGTGGGGAGTGGGCTGGGGGGGCGCTGGGGTTCAGCTGCAGGAGACATCCAGGGGAGCCCCTGGGATGCTCCCCAGTGGGGGATGGCAGTGGTGACGCCGTCCTGTGTCCCCAGGTACTACGGGGGTGCCGAGGTGGTGGATCAGATCGAGCTGCTGTGCGAGCGGCGGGCGCTGGAAGCGTTCGACCTGGACCCCGCCCGCTGGGGCGTCAACGTCCAGCCCTACTCGGGCTCCCCGGCCAACTTCGCTGCCTACACGGCCCTGCTGCAGCCCCACGACCGCCTGATGGGGCTGGACCTGCCCGATGGGGGCCAGTACGTGGGGAGCTGAGGGGGGGACACGGGTCCTGCTGCCCCCCGGGGGTCCCGGCCTCACCCCCTGCCTTCCCCGCAGCCTCACGCACGGGTACATGACCGACGTCAAGAGGATCTCGGCCACCTCCATCTTCTTCGAGTCGATGCCCTACAAGCTTGATGTGAGCTGGGGGGGAGGATCTGGGGGAAGGGAGGGTCTGTCGGGGAGGGATGAGCCCTGAGATGTCCCCGAGGTGTCCCCAAGGTGTCCCAGCTGCTCTGTCAAACCCCTACCCTGCCTCCCCTCCATGTCCAGTGTGTCCCAGTGCCAGGGGAGATGCCCAGGCCTCAGGCGGACATGACAGAACTCGGTCTGTCTGTCCCTGGGCTGACTGACCTGTCTGTCCCTGGGCTGACCAATCTGTCTGTCTGTCTCTGGACTCACTGACCTGTCTGTCTGTCCCTGGGCTGACTGACCTGTCTGTTTGTCCCTGGACTGACCAATCTCTCTGTCTGTCTCTGGACTCACTGACCCGTCTGCCTGTCCCTGCACTGGCTGACCTGTCTGTCTGTCCCTGAGCTGACTGCCATGTCTGTCTGTTCCTGGACTGTCCAATCTGTCTGTCTGTCTGTCTGTCCCTGGACTGACTGACCTATGTGTCTATCCCTGGGCTGACCAATCTGCCTGTCTGTCTGTCTGTTCCTGGGCTGCCTGCCGTGTCTGTCTGTCCCTGGGCTGACTGCCGTGTTTGTCTGTTTGTCCCTGGGCTGCCTGCCGTGTCTGTCTGTCCCTGCACTGGCTGACCCGTCTGTCAGCCTGTCGCCGTGTTTGTCTGTCTGTCCCTGGGCTGACTGACCTGTCTGTTTGTCCCTGGACTGACCAATCTCTCTGTCTGTCTCTGGACTCACTGACCCGTCTGCCTGTCCCTGCACTGGCTGACCTGTCTGTCTGTCTGTCCCCGGGCTGACTGCCGTGTCTGTCTGTCTGTCCCCGGGCTGACTGCTG